AGTCGAGGCTGCGGTGGCCGGGAGCGGCCACTGCACTCCAGTCTGGGCGAGAGAGAGTGAGACTCCAACTCAAAAAAAAAAAAAGACTGGCGGATGCCCCTGGGGCGACTTCAGCAGGACGCTCTGACTCTACCTTCTGTCAAGCTTTTACATGGTTTTCCATCAAAGTTTGATACCCATTTCCTCTGTGTTCACAGCCCCTTCCAGTCTCCAAGAACTGTCTGGAACAAATGCTGAAGATAAGAATGTGAGTATTTTTTTAAAAAATATTCCACCTCCCAAGAAAAAGATATTCAAGCACTCTGTTTCAACTTTGAGTTTCAGCTTGTTGGTGCTGATGGTCAGAGCACTAAGAATCCCCCAAGCTTCTTTCATTTCAAAAGAGGCCCAAAAGGATCAAAATCAAGCGAAGTATATTCTCTAACCACAACAGAATTATGTTGTAATCAATAATAAACTCTCTAGGATACATAACTATCACTTGGACATCTTAGAAATTAAACAGCACACTTCTTAAGATTAAAAAAAAAAGCAGCCAGGTGCAGTGGCTCATTCCTGTAATCCCAGCATTTTGGGAGACAGAGGCAAGAGGATTCCCTGAGCCTGCAGGTTCGAGACCAGCCTGGGCAACTTGGTGAGACCTCATCTCTACAATAAATCAAAAAATTAGCTGGGCAAAGTGGCTCACGCTTGTAGTTTCAGCTACTTGGAAGGTTAAGGTGGAAGGATCACCTGAGCCCAGCAGGTCGAAGCTGCAGTGACCGTGAGCATGTCGCTGCACTGTAACCTGGGTGACAGAATGAGACTCCAACTCAAAAATAAATAAATAGCAATGGGTTCCAGAAGAAATCACAAGGGAAATTGGAAAATACTTCTAAGTGATAATGACAATGCAACCTATGCAGATTTGTGGATTGCAGTGTAGATGGAAATGTATAGCTTTTAATGCTTATATTAGAAAAGAGTTATCACAGAAACAAAGAATCGAGTATCACACGTTCTCACTCATAAGTGGAACTTGAACAATTATTGTAATACTATAAAAAAAGGATTGGCAGTGGCAGGAAACTGCTGGTAGGGGTGGGGAGGTGGTTCGGGATTGGCAGCAGTGGGAATCTGCCAGGTGGCGGGGGCACAACTCATCAACAAGGGTACCTGCATAATGAACATTTGTATACCTAACCCTGAATTGTGCCCCACATCTTTAAAATAAAAAAGATTAAAAGAAAAAAAAGAGTTCCTTTAATTTTTTAACAAGGATGAGTCTTCAACTCCTCGTTTTTTTTTGTTTTTGTTTTTTGTTTTTGAGTCAGAGTCTCACTCTTTTGCCAAGGCTGGAGTACAGTGGCCCACTCATGGCCATGGCAGCCTTGACCTGTTGGACTCTGGCAATCCTTCCACCTTAGCCTTCCAAGTAGCTAGAACTACAGGCATGCACCACCATACCCAGCTATTTATTTATTTATTGTAGAGATGAGGTCTTGCCATGTTGCCCAGGCTGGTCTCAAACCCGTGGACTCAGGCAATCCTCTCGCCTCCATCCCCCAAAGTGCTGGGATGACAGGCATGAGCTACAACGCCCGGCTTTCAACTCATTATTGACATTGTTCATGCCTGCATTTCCTCATTAACAAAGACTTATTGTGCATTTCCAATGTTCAAGTTGTGGCATTAGAGACGAAGACACAATGACAAGTACACAGATGTGGTCTCTGCCTTCATGAAACTGCTGAATTTTATATATATATATATTTTTTTTTTTTTTAGTTGGAGTCTCACTCTGTCACCCAGATTGGAGTGCAGTGGCCACTCCTGGTGACCTGCTGGGCTCCGGCGATCCTTCTGCCTCAGCCTTCCAAGTAGCCAGAACTACAGGCGGATGCTACCAAGCCCGGCTAATTTTTTGATTTATTGTAGAGATGAGGTCTTGCCAAGTTGCCCAGGCGGGTCTCAAACCCACGGTTCAGGCAATTCACTCACCTCAGCCTCCCACAGCGCGGGATTACAGGATGAGCCACCAAGCTGGGCCTGCTGATGATATTAACAAACAAATTAGCATATCATTAGGATCTGTGATGTGTCCAACAAGAACACATAGGGTGCCTTGATAGCAATTCACAGCGGGTGGTCTGGCAAATGCTGTCAGAGAAGACCTTCCAAGAGGTGGCATTTAAGTGGGCATGTGAAGATAACAGTCAGCCAGGCTGGAAAGCAGAGCAACAGCTTTCAGAGTGGGCAGGCTAGGAAGGCTGAGGCTGATGACCTGAAGCCAATGTGGCTGAGTCTAGTGGGGGAGGGGAAGGTAGGAGATTACAGACTGATGGACAGAGGCCAGATCACGCGGAGCCTTGAGTACCAACACAAGAAGTGTGGGTTTTATTCCCAAGCCACGGGAGGCCACTGGGGATTGAGGCCTGTTATTTCAGGCCATGCCTTCCAGGCTAGAACAAAAGACTTGGCAGTCTGAGCTGTTGAACAGGTCTCGCCAGAATTACTCCAGGAATACACCGGGTGCCCTGCAATCCCTCTTCCTCAAACACACATGCTCTCCATTGTTGTTCGAGACAGTTTTTGGAGTCCAGGTGCGGTGACTCACGCTTGTTATCCCAGCACTGTGGAAGACCAAGGTGGGAGGATTGCTTGAGCCCAGGAGTTCGAGACCAGCTTGGACAACATAGCAAGACCCCCCATCTCTAAAAACAAAAAAGAGAGATGGAGCCTGTTCTCTGGGGAAGCTTCCCCTGACTCCCACTGCCTGGTTTATAAAGGTAACAACTCTGCCTTCTGCTGTGCCAGACACAGTGTTGAGCACAGTGAATCCACAGCAACCCAAGAGTCAGATACTAACAGCCCCTTGGAAGGACAGAAACTCAGAGACTAAGAAACGGGCGGCCATGGGGCTAGTGATTCAGCCTGAGATGTGGCTGGCCCCAGTCTATATCCTTAGTCTCCTCCCTCCTTCTTCCACATTCTCTGGCCTGGGGGGATTTTGTTTTGTTTTGTTCGTTTTGAAACAGGGTCTCACTCTGTCACCCAGGCTGGAGTGCAGTGGCACGATCATAGCTCACGACAACTTCAAACTTCTGGGCTCAGTGATCCTCCTGCCTCAGCCTCCTAAGTCGCTGGGACTATAGGCGGTCGCCACCACGCCCCACTAATATTTTTATTCTTTGTAGGGACAGGTTCTTGCTATGCTGCCCAGGCTGGTATTGAACTCCTGTCCTCGAGCAATCCTCCTGCCTTGGCCTCCCAAAGTGTTGAGATTACAGGTGGGACTGTGTCTGGTCCCACACTCTGTTTTAATTGTTGGCTTACCTGCCTGTCCTCCTTATTGTATGTGAGGCCAAGGCCCAAACCTCTTTATTCCTGTCCTTTAGATATAAAGCACATAGGACCTGGCCCAGAGCAGCTTCTGTTAACACGGCTGAATGCAGGGTGGACCCTAGCCCCACACTTGGGATAAAGTGACTCACCCGGTGATCCTGATCATCTCATGCCATACCCCATGAGGGCGCGGGTGGATTGGCCAGGGTCTGTCCCCATTCCATGCCTTACACCATGGCTGCCCTGGGCACAGGTTGCTCTGGGGTGGATGGTGGGACGCAGTAAGTCTGAGCTAACTGTCGCAGGCGTCTCACCAGCTGGCTGCTTTTTCCGCAGAAAGGTGACAGTACTATGGAGGTGTATATTAAACCTGGTCGATATGTGGATCCTTTCATGACAGTGACTCTGGGCTGGCCAGACAGTGACGAGGATTTGCGCTTCCAGTGGTCATGTGGTAGGTGGTGCCAGAGTCCTTGAATTGTCCTGTCGCTCTAAGAAGTGACTAATAGTGGTCAGATTTTACTGTTCTTTTTCTTAGTCTTCACACCAGCATTACTTGTGCCTGACTTTTTGTTGTTTTTGTTGAATCGGGGTCCTGCTCTGTCGCCCAGGCTGAAGTGCAGTGGCACGATCACGGCTCACGGAAGCCTCCGGCTCCTGGGCTTAAGTGATCCTTCTGCCTCAGGCTCCCAAATAGCTGGGACTACAGGCATGTGCCACCACACCTAGCTAATTTTTTTTGAAGAGATGAGGTGTCTCTGTGTTGCCCAGGCTTGAACTCCTGGCCTCAAGTGATCCTCCTGCCTTGGCCTCCCAAAATGCTGGAATTATAGGTGTGAGCCACTGTGTCCAGCCATGCCTAACATTTTGTGTAACTTGTACATGCCAGAGATTACAGATTCCGTGGAAATGGGAGGTTGGGGAAAAGCAGTGTAGAAGGAAGGATGGGAGGGGGGTAGCTCTGGCTGCAGGCAACAGGCAGATGTAGAGAATTTGAAAACAATAATACAAACTGCCAAGCCAGTCCAGTCCATGCACTGGCAATTCCAAACAATATCAGTGATAAAATACTCCTTCCCCTGGGATGAATTCCCTCCCTCACCCCCACCCCCTTGGTATATCACTGGAGAGAGTCTAGAAGGTGGAAGTGAGTCAGACATTTTCCAACAACGAAGATGGCAGCGCTAGTGCTCATTTTGTAGAAACGATATCCTCTTTATTTATTTATTTTGTTTTTTGAGTCAGAGTCCCACTCCATTGCCCAGTCTGGAGAGCAGTGGCCCAATCACGGCTCATTGGGGCCTCAACCTCCTGAGCTCAAGTGATCCTTTTGCCTCAGTGTCCCAAGTAGCTGGAACTACGGGTGTGCGCCACCAAGTCCGGCTAATTTTTTTACTTTTTGTAGAGATGAGATCTCGCTGTGTTGCCTAGGCTGGTCTTGAACTCCTGGGCTCAAGCCATCTTTCCGCCTCAGCCTCCCAAAATGCTGGGATTACAGGCATAAGCCACCATGCCCGGCTGTGTCCTCCTTGTTTATAGAGATGCATCCTAGCTATATACACATTCTTTTAGAAGTAAAATGAATGTCATTCATACTGTGCCTATTGTTTTTGTTGCCTTTTTGTTTTTCATTGAACAATACGACCTGCCTGTTTTAATGTCATGGTATCTTGTTCTCCACCTGGATTTCTGTTATGGTTGCATAGTAAACTCTCGAGGTGATATATGATCACTTATTTACCAATACCCTCTTTTTGAACATTTAGGTTGTTTCAAATTATTTGTTCTTATAAACAATGCCATAATGAACATCCTTATAGTTCAATCTCTATTTACACCTGTAATTACCTTCATAAATACATTTCTAGAAAGGGAATGATAAGGTCGAAAGTCATGCAGAATTTCAAGGCTTTAGGTATTAATTGCTATGTGGTTATGGCATGCTTCTGAATATTTCTTCTTGCTGTCTGAATGCAGAAGACACAAGCATGGAGCCTTGGCAATGGAGCCGATGAGCCTGACCCTAGGGGAGGATTTCCATATTGGAGGTAGTGGGGAGTGAGGTTTTGAACGATGACATCAATCAGCAGAGTTGAAAAGTAGAGGGTACAGAAACTTAGGGGGCTGCTAACACACAGCAGAAGATGACACAGTGGCCTCCCAGAGGGAGGTCAGCCTCCCTGGTCCCCACAATAGCCCACAGGACACAGAGCTATGGACAGTCTCATCCGCGTGGAGTGACAATGGCACCAGGGATAAGAAGCTGCCCTGGAAATTCTCCCAGGGCTGCAGATCCTCCCTGCCTTTCTGCTATTATTGCCAGTGTCAGTCGCTAGTGCATAAGAAGCCAAGTGCATCCTGCAGGTTTGCTCAGAGTCGGGGTGAATTGTGGGATCATTTTCCCGAAGTATCTTCTGAAGCATCTTTCCTGCAGCCTGCATTCAAAGTGACATTTTTGTCGGTCAGGCTCATGCCTATAATTCCAGCAATTTAGGTGGCAGAGGCGAGAGTATTCAAGATGAGCCTAGGCAACTTGGTGAGACCTTGTCTCTACAAAAAAATCCAAAAATTAGCCGAATGTGGTGGCGTGTGCTTGTAGTTCCAACTTGGAAGATTGAGGTGAAAGGATTGCCTAAGCCCAGCAGGTTGAGGCTGTGGTGGCCCTGAGCATGCCACTATACTCCAACCTGGGCAACAGAGTGAGACCCCGACTAAAAAATGTGACATTTTTGGCTGAGTACAGTGGCTCTTGTCTGTAATCCCGGTACTTTGGGAGGCCTAGGCAGAAGGATTGCTTGAGCCCAGGAGTTCAAAACTACCTGGGGGACATAGTGAGATCTTGTTGCTAAAAAAATTACCAAAAAAAAGTGACTTAAAAAAAAAATCAGCCAGGTACAGTGGCTCACGCCTGTGATTGAGAGGCAGAGGCAAGAGGATTACCTGAGCTCAGAGGTTTGAGACCAGCCTGAGCAACAGGGGAGGCCTTATCGCTACAATTAAAAAAAAAAAAAATCAACCAGACCTGCGGTTCCAGCTACTTGGAAGGCTGAGGCAGAAGGATCACCTGAACCCAGCAGGTCAAGACTGCAGTGGCCACGAGGGTGCCACTGCACTCCAGCATGGGCGACAGAGTGGAACTCCAACTCAAAAAAATATTAAATAAATAAAATAAATTTAAAAATAAAAACAATAGAAAATGACTTTAAAAAATCAAAATCTCTGGAGCCAGTATTGACACTTTTCAAAACCCCAAACCTGGCAGAGTTCAGTGATTCACAAATGTAATCCTGGTACTTTGGGAGGTTAAAGCAGAAGGACTGTGTGTACCCATGAGTTTAAGACCATCCTGGGTAACATAGCAAGACCCCACCTCTACAAAAAAATCAAAAAATTAACCAGGTGTGGTGGCGCATGCCTATAGTTCCAGCTACTCTGGAGACTGAGGCACAAGGATTGTCTGAGCCCAGGAGGTCAAGGCTGCGGTGAGCTGTTATCATGCCACTGCACTCCAGCCTGGATGACAGAGGCCTAGACTCCAGATAGATAGATAGATGGATAGATAGATAGATAGATAGATGGATGGATGGATGGATGGATGGATAGATAGATAGATAGATAGATAGATAGATATAGATGGATTATAGATAAGCCCCAAACCTGAAGTCAGCAGTGTGTGTCAAGTTCAGGCTTCTGGGGCAGATAACAGCATCTCTGGTCTCTCGCAGGCCGTTGCTGGGCTCAGTGGAGCGACTGTGTTCAGAGGCGGCTACTCCACCCAGACCAGAGGGAGCTGGTGGTCCCACCGTCCTGTCTGCCGCCACCCAACTCTGCTGTCACCCTGCGCCTGGCTGTCCTGAGAGGCCAGGAGCTGGAGAGCGGGACGGAGCAGTGTCTCTATGTGTCTGCATCCCTGGAACTCAGGCCGCTAATCAGGTGGGGCGCTTGGGTGGGTTCCTCCAGGACTATCATTCATTCATTCAGTCAACATTTACTGAGGGCCAACTCAGGCTGGTGCTGAGTGAGGGACAGGGCTTGTGGGAAGAGTGGTGGGGCATACAAGTCCCAGCCTCTGTTCTCAGAGGGTTAGTTACCACCTGGGGATGGGCAATGGTTGGCATGAACAAATGCAGGGAGAGAGCACTCTATGCTGGGGCCCTGCAGAGACGTGGAAGACGGGGAGGGGTGAACGTGGCGGGGCAGGGGGTGCTGGAGCGGGAAGGGAGGGGGCAAAGGAAGGGAGCAGAGAACAATCAGGAAGTGGAAGTAGACGACGTCCTTAGAATGGAGAAGAGAACGCCAAGAAGAAGCCAATAGAGGAGGCAGAGCCTTGAAGGTCACATCAAGAGTTGGGTCTTTTGCTAAGTGTTCTTCAGAGAAGGTCATCAGAGAGTTCTAAGCAGGAGTGGGACGTGGTCGCGTGTCACTTCAAAACACTCCGGCAGCAGAGGGGAGGATGGGTTGGAAGAGGCAGGAGAGGACTTGGGAGGTGGCTTAGACCCTAGTGGGAGGCACCATAGGAAAGAGGTGAAGGTGGGTTGGAGTATCAGTAGGTCCCTGCAGGAAGCCGATTGTGCCTTCAAACCAGGAAAGAATGGATAAGGGTGGGCTGAAGACTCTGTGTACACGTGTGGGCAGGGATAAGGGATAAGGAGTGGCCATGCAGGATACAACAAGGGAGGCCATTATCACTCCCATGACCACGGAGGGAAGAGGGGATGGTGTTACTGGAACCCCTGGGAGCTTTCACTGTGGGAGAGGGACCTCCCAGCAGGATCATGGCTTTGACCAGAAAGTCCAGCCTCTCCCAGCTGCAGCCCATGAGGGAAAGGGTGGATAAATCCCCGCACCTCTCTCCTCACTCCCCCAAATCCTCCTTTGATGCTTCCTTTTGACTGGAGCCACACGAGAAGCTGGAACAGGAGGGAGCTTGGGCGATGGGGTCCATAGAACTGTCTCCAGGGGCAGAACCGCAAGAGTGGGCAGAGACTGGAATGGAGGGGAAATATGGAGCGCCCAGCACACTTGGACGATGATAGACATGAAGAGAGGGTAGGAAGCTGCAGGAGCTGTTATGAAGCTCAACTGAAGGGATCTGGAGAATGAATCGGACACGCAGCAGATGCCAAAGCATCTTCTTGTTGGCTCTAGGGAGGACGCAGGACATTACAGAGAAGGCCTAGCATTCAGGTCTAAGTTCACGTTCCGTCCACCACTTAGCAGTTGTGTCACCTAGGACAAATCACATGAGCTCCCAGAGCAAGCTCCTGGTTTGCTCATCTGGGATGCGGGGATCTGATACATGACTCACAGGGTAGTTGTAAACACTGGACAAACTGGGAACAGTGGAAGTCATTTGTACATGGTGCACATGTGTAAAACCACAGCAGTGATTTACTCGTATTAGAATGAAAAAGAATCGCATGAATATTCTGGTTTAATCCCCTCACTTTGAAGGTGAGGAAACCGAGGCTCAGAGTTTAAGTGACTTGCATGAGATGGTGGCAGGGACAGGATTCAAACCCAGAGTTTTGTCTCAGCCTCAAGCACTTTCCATATCGCTACATTGTACAGCAAATGAAATGGGAATTCACTCGGGTCATAAATTACCCAGTATTCACGGCCAAAGCTATGTTCTGGTTTTGACTGGGGTGGGGGTTGCTTTTATTCCGTCTTTCATTTGAAATCAACCATTTCTCATCCTCTCAAAGGATATTAGATGAAACAGTCAAAAGACCAGGCCAGTGGTCACAATGCCTTTCTGAGTCCATTTTGTGTTACTACAAAGGAATAACGAAGGCTGCGTAATTGGTAATTTACGGAGAGAAAAAAGCTTTGTTTGGCTTATGATTCTAATAGTCGGAAAGTTCAAGAGTGGGCAGCTGCATCTGGCGAGGGCCCCAGGCTGCTTCCACCCATGGTGGAAGGTGAGGGTGTGCCAGGCTGTGCAGAGATCACATGGCAAGAGAGAAGAAAAGGAAGGGGACAGTGCCAGGCTCTTGTTAACAACTACTCTCCTGGGACCTCACAGAGCAAGAATCCACTCATCCCTGAGGGAGGGCATTAATCTATTCATGAAGTCTCCTCCCCCATGACCCAAACACCTCCCATCATGCCCTACCTCCAACACTGGGAATCAGATTTTAACATGAAGTTTTGAGAGGACAAGTGTCCAATCCACTTCAGTGCCCAAGGGATCTTCCCTGCTCAGTCCTCTGTCTGCCTTTCAGCTGTGAGAGGAACTGTGGGCCCGTGAATGCCAGTGAAGACATTCTGCTCAGGGTCACTGTGGGAGATGACTCCACGGAGGCCACATTCAGCTGGTATTTAGACAGCACCCCTTGGGAGAAGGTAAGAACATTGACAGTCACTCAGAAATGGAAATCTCCCTCCCACCTAGACTGACCAAACACCTGTGTCATATGCGAGGTACCCCTACTCAGAGTCTGTGGAATAGGGGGTTGGGTTTAAGGGGTGAGTACTGCAGAGGAAAACTCTGGAGCAAAAACTCTGGAGAAATACTGCAGCAGTGCTGATGGTGCCCCAGTCAAGTCCCCCTTTCCAGGCTAATGCATCTGTCCCCAACTGCTGTGCAGTGGCCATTAGCCAATAACTGACAGATGCAGAGTCTAGCAGCCCAGCTCCCCTGCCCCCAAGTAAGGTCATTTCCGAGGTGCAACTCATGCTCTAGCCTGTGGGGCCAGGCTGAACCTGGATGGGCTCTGAAAAGTCTTCTCTGCCTCCTTTTGTTCTCTATTCTGCTCCTCTCCCACCCCTACTTGGTTTCCCTGTCGGCCCTCCCCCAGTAAATGACCTGCACACAAATCCTTGCCTCAAGCTCTGCTCTCATGGTTGGAAAGTTTAAGAGCGGGCAGCTGCATCTGGCGAGGGCCCTAGGATGACCTAACACAGATACCCTAGGAGCTGGAGATTGGATCTTCCACAATGACCTCTGGGAAACAGGAGATGCCTGCCCTCCATTCATTGGAGATAAATCTGAAAGGTCTCCTCCCTGGGGGCTGGAAGCCACAGTCCTGCTGGGGTCTGGTGGCCTGACTATGGTCTTCTAGGTGATGCTATCTTTCAGGCGGAGCCCCTCCCAGACGCCTGCAGACTCAGAGGATTTTGGCCACGTTCCCTAATCCCCCTGCAGAGCAGCACCTCCACGTTGCAGCTGAATAGCTCCTTACTGCAGACCTGGGGAGATGTCATCCGGATCAGAGCCACAGGTGCAAAGCCACCCTTTGACCTCCTGCCAGGGAACCCAGACAGACCCAGAAACACCAAGACATAGGGCATCAGTTTAGGGGCCATGGCACAGGCTGTGGCATGAATCTCACCACCACCACTTTCTACCTGGGAGACTTCAGGCAGAGGAGTGAACCTCTCTGTGCCTCAGTTCCCTAACATGTAAACGGGGGATAGCCAAAACGTCTGCCTCAGAATGTTATTACACAACGTGAATGAAATAACACGAGTCAAACAAGCAGGTCAGTCTGGAGTCATGCAATCTGCATGTCCTCCCCGAATAATTCAGAGCTTCCCATTTTAAACCAGCCCCTGAGCACAGTGACTCATGCCTATAATCCCAGCACTTTGGGAGGCTGAGGTAGGAGGATCACTTGAGCCCAGGAGTTTGAGATCAGACTAAGAAATATATCAAGACCTCACCTCTACAAAAACTAAAAAAAAATTTTTTTTAAATTAGCTGGGCTATTTGGGAGCTGAGGCAGGAGGATCATCTGAGCCCAGGAAGTCAAGGTTGTGGTGAGCCATGATTGTGCCATTGCACTCCCACCCGGACAACAGAGTGAAACCCTGACTCAAAAAGGAAAAAAAAAAAACCTTGTGTGGGAAATGTTTTCAAATGGGGATGACTCTTTTAAGAAAAGATTCCTTTGTTTCTGTATTTCTCAAAGTAGCCCATGGACCATCCATACCAGGATTAACTGGGATACTAGTTTAAAATGCACACCCCTGGGCCTACTCCAAATGGGGTCTAGGGAAAGGAATTTTTTTTTGAGCTGGAGTCTCTCTCCATCGCCCAGGCTGGAGTGCAGTGGCACGCTCACAGCTACCCCAGCGTTGACCCACTGGGCTCAGGCGATCCTTCCACCTCAGCCTTCCAAGTAGCCGGAACTACAGGTGCGCTCTACCATGCCTGGCTAATTTTTTGATTTATTGTAGTGATGAGGTCTTGCCAAGTTGCCCAGGCTGTTCTTGAACCCATGGGCTCAGATAATCCCTTCACCTCGGCCTCCCAAAATGCTGAGATTACATGCTTGAGCCACTGTGCCTGGCCAGGAATTTGTTTTAATGGATTAAAATTCTCTTTATACCCAGCTCTTCTGGGAATATCCTCTCTTTGAAAGACTAGGTGCTGGGCATGGTGGCTCATGCCTATAATCCCAACACTTTGGGAGGCAGAGGTGAGAGGATTGCCTGAGCCCAGGGGTTCTAGACCAGCCCAAGCAACATGACAAGACCTTATCTCTACAATAAATAAATAAAAAATTAGCCAGGTGTGGTGATACACGCCTGTAGATCCAGCTACTTAGAAGGAAGAGGCAGAAGGACTGCCTGAGTCCAGCAGGTCGAGGCTGCAGTGGTTGTGAGTGTGCCACTGCACTGCTACCTGGGCAACAGAGTAAGACTCTGACTCTAAAAAAGAAAAAAAGAAAGAAAGATAAGGTGACTTTGTCAGGTGATTTGGGATGTCACTGCAAGTCACCTGGCAACTCTTCCCAGTGCCCTGAGGCCTCAGAAGAGCATGGGCCTGGGGGTGAGATCAGCCTGTGTGCAGATCCTGGCTCTGTCCTTCCTGGCTCAGTGAACTTGGGCATGCTATTGTTTCCCAATATACCTTCTCTTCATGGAATCTATTAGCCCCATTTTATGAATGAGGAACGGACTCTCAGAAAGGCCAAGTCCAAGGCCACTTGACGAGTAACTGCCAGAACTAAAATTCAAGTCTGCACTGTCTGATGTTCTTCCTCTATCTCTGCCCAGTTTTTCAAAGTCAGACCCTGGGATCTCCCACATCCGGGCAGTTGTTAGATATGTAAATTACTGGACCTGTCCCAGGATCTCTGAGAGCTCTAAGGGCCCAGGTCCAGAGTGGGGCCCCGGAATCTGCATGCATCTAACAAGGCCAGGGTGATCCTGAAGTGTGATGGAGGGGCCCACGCAGCCTCCTAAGCTTGATCTGTTTTCATTCCCAGCACTGACCGGGCGCTCCTATGGGGAGGACACCTATGTGATCAGCACCCTGCCTGCCCCCAAGGCACCCACCTGCACCATTGCCCCAGCGGAGGGCACGGTTCTGACAAGCTTCGCCATCTTCTGTAGCACTTTTGTGGCCTCAGGACCCCTGGAATACTGCTTCTGTCTGGAATCAGGTACCGACTGAGGACGCGGCCTATCCTTCAGCTCCTGGGCTCATTCTGTCAGAGAACAAGGGCCCACTGTCTCCGGGAGCTGCAAAGAATATGTTCCGTGTGCAAAAGAGGCTGGCAGGATGGCTCCCTGAACCTTGACCCCCAAGGCACTGACCCAGCCATCGCCCCACAGAGACATGAGAAGCAAGTCTTATCAGTAGCTTTGCCACAATTAAAAGCCAAAATGACCTGTGTTCTAGTCTGGGAGCATCGATGGGGTGAAATGAACAAGGATACCCAAAATATGACCATATGGGGCCACTACCAGGACACTCTCCCCTGACACACACCTGGGGTAGCTGTGATCCCTTGGAATTCTGGAGCTACGAGGGGGACCCCCAAAAAGCTGGAATCATCTTTTGGAGGGTGGACCCCTTGTAGTAAACTCGGAATGTATTCCTCTGGATCAAACAGTCAATAGAAGTATTTATCTAGAAGTTTTGGGAAAAGTTGCATCATGATTTATGGAAGAAATGTCCCAAGTTGTGGGAAACAGATGATTGGTTCTTCTATCATGACAACAAATCTGCCCGTATTACACTGAGTGTTCAGTGACCCCTGTGCCCCACCCTCCCTATTCACCGGATCTCACCTCGAGCAACAATTTTATTTCCCTGGATGAAAAAAGTCCTCAGAGGGAAACGTTTTGCCCAAGTGGAAGAGGTGAAACAAAAAAAATGACAGAAACACTAAGGGACATCAAAATGAATGAGTTCAAAAACTGTTTTGAGCAGTGGAAAAAGCATCTTGATAGGTGTATTGCATCAAACGGAGAGTACTTTGAAGGTGACTGAAGTTTAAACATGTAAGAATAAGTACACCAATTTTTAGAAATAAATTCCAAATTTTTCAGGGTCCCCCTCGTATGCAGAAAGACAGAGGTGGGTCAAGTTCACAGAATCTTCAACCATTTTATTGTCCCAGCTTTGCAGGTGGCAGCAGAGAATGGGCAAAGTTGCAGGACAGGCCGAGTGGAAAAAACATTTTTGCAAGGGTTTATAGGTGACAAGCATTGAAGATCCCAACCACATTGCATAAAACCCTGCACAGGCCGGGTGTGGTGGCTCGTGCCTGTAATCCTAGAGCTTGAGGAGGTGGAGAATTGTTTGAAGACAGGAGTTCGAGGCCAACTGGGCATCATAAGACACCCCTCCCAACTTTGTCTCTACAAAAATTTTTTAAAATTTAAAAATTTCCTGTCACCCTAGCAACCCACAGCCCAGGACAGCAGAAGATGTTAGCAGGAGAAACAGGAAGTGGAGGAGGGAACAGGCCCCATATCATGTTTGTCCTGCCATTTTAGGAGTGCTCGGTCCTTAGCGGGCTCCTATGTTTCCTTATGATCTCCCAGCAGGCTTGGCTTTTTGTGGCCCTCACGTGAGCTCTGAAAACGTTCTTGTCAGACTGGCAATTTCCCACAAGACTAGGTGCCAGGAGTGTTGCTGGGATGCCCCCCCAATATCCAGCATCAAACACCACAACGACACAAAGCCTACACCTTAATCAGGGAAAGGTGGACTTCAGCTACACCGATGCCCTAGATAGCATCACACCCATGGGGCATGCTGTCAAGTAGATGCCAAGAGGGCTGTGACTCAGGTTGACCCGAGAAGGAAAGCTGGGCAGTGGAGTTCACTTCAAACCCGCAACCTCCCATGTCAGCTGCTCTGATTCTGGTGCGTTTTCCTGCCTCAGTGCCTCCCCGGCCTCCTTCAAGCAAGCAGGAAGGCGGGAAATTTCGACCACAGAAAAATGAGTTGCCATTGCAAGTCAATAACTTCGTGACTGTCTGCACGCTATACAGTGTCTACGGAGTCCATTGATAAGTAGGTCTCATGTCAGGAACAAAGGATATTTATTCATTCATTCATTTTTACAACAAATCTGAATCAAATACCACATTCTGTCTATGAGCTCGATATATACCAGGGAGCACAAAGTATACTATAGTGAAAGTCCCTGACCTTTGGGTCTTTAACAGTTTAGGGACCTGGCAGGGATAACTAGTAAACAAAGACACATGTGACAGGGAGGTGATGTTGTAGAGAAAGCGGCCAAGGAAGGGCTGTGTCAAGGAAGGGACATTTGAGGGAGCTTTGATATGTTTTGAGCTAATTCTTTGTTTGTCGATTGATACATAATAATGCACATAGTTTGGGGATAAATATGGTAATTTAATACATGCATACACTTTGTAAAGATCAAATTAGTGTACTTGGAATATCTATCACCTTAATGTTTGTCTTTTATGTATTTGTTTTTAGACAGGGTCTTGCTCTTTTGCACAGGCTAGAGTGCAGTGGCTCAATCGTACCTTACTGCAGCCTCAAACTCCTGGGTTCAGGCGATCCTCTAGCTTCAGCCTCCCAAGTAGCTGGGACTATGGGCAGGCACTACCACACCCAGCTAATTTTTTTACTTGTTTGTAGAGATGAGGACTCCCTATGTTGCCTAAGCTAGTCTCAAACTCCTGGGCTCAAGTGATCATCCTGCCTCAGCCTCCCAAGTAACTGAGACTACAGGCACATGCCACCACACTTAGCTGTTCTGGTTTTTTGGGTGTTTTTTTTTTAAAGACAAGATCTCTCTATGTTGCTCAGGCTATAAATATCTGTCTTTTCTTTCTGCTAGCACCATTGAATTCTCCTCTTTTAGCTATTTAAGAATGTATAGTAGGACAGGCACATTGGAAGGCAGAGAGGCGAGAAGATTGTCTGAGGTTCAAGACCAGCCTGGACAACTTGGTGAGACCTTGTCTCTACAATTAAAAAAAAAAAATTAGCCAGGTGTGGTGGTGTGCACCTGTGATACTTGGAAGGCTGAGGTGGAAGGATCACCTGAATCCAGCAGGTCGAGGCTGCGGAGGCTGTGAGTGTGCCACTGCACTCCAGCTTGGGCAAGAGAGTGAGACATGAGACTCCTTCTCAAAAAAAAAGGAAAAAATATACAGTAGATTACTGTAAATGATATCACCTTACTGATCTAACACTAGGTCTTATTTTTTTCTATCAAACTATATATTTGTACCCATTAAGTAACTTCTCTTCATCTTCCTGAGCTGATTTTTAAGTTGTTTCTGCCCCTCCCTCTTCCCCTCCCCCTTCTCCTTTTTCTAATTTAGTTTACCATATGGAGTTTTGTTTTTTAAATTGTAAATGGAAGTTTTTTTTTTTTCCTGAAGTTATTCATAGATTTTAGTAAAATCATTCCGAAGTTCCAGCCACCTGCAGTTAGAGGACAATCCACCAATATAAGGTTATTTACTCCCTGAAAGTGTGGACTCCCTGACTGCCTGCTACTCCTTGGAGCGCTGTGGCTTTTGCACCCCTGTGACCAGGCTCTGCCTGGGTGGGTTGCAGTCTCCCTAGGGCTTGGATATACACCACCCCCCAACCGGTCATTTTCCATTTTTGCCAGGTTCCTGCCTACACTGTGGCCCTGAACCTGTCCTCCCATCAATATATCTGCCTCTTGGGAAAGAAAACAATGACTTTGTGCTGACAGTGGTCATTTCTGTCACCAATCACGCCGGGGACAGACAGCAGACCCACACAGCGGTCAAGGTGGGTAGTCGCAGTGGCCATCATTTCTTTAGTAAGGAAACATCTCAGTCCTTCTGAACCTCACCAAAAGGGTGAATGGATGGGTCAGCCAGGAGCACAACCAGGTGAATGATTGGTTCATTCATCCCTTCAGCAAATATTTACAGAGTAGCACCTACCATGTGCCGAGTCCTGGGGTTACAGACGTGGACACAGTGACCATGTAAATCTCTGTAGACCTGAAGGCTCAGTGGCCAGAATAGGGGTAGGGACCTGGGACCTGGGGCAGTAGGAGTGAGGGATTGGACTAGAATGGCCTTGACATGTGTTAGGCCCGCACCCTCAGAGAGGTCAGAGGAAGGAAAACCAAAGTCACCCCAACAGGGTAGCGAGCAGTGAAGCCGTGTCTTGTGCAAACCTCCAGTGGACCAAGGCTTGGGTTTGGTGGCCATTGGCTGCCTGGTACAAGCTGGCCCAGGTTCCATGCAGCCTCAGAAAGTGCCCAAGAGCCCCCAGCCAGGCCAAAGGCATCTGGGCCTGCTCTGGTTCCCCACGTGAAGATCTGTGACTTCAGGAGCAGAGCTCCTGAACAAAGACTGCTGAAGCACATCTCTGGTTTCCCAACAGGTGGGACTCGGAGACGCGCGTATTGAGGACGCGGCCTTCCAGGCTGCTGTGTCGGAGACAATCCCCACTGCTCTGCAGGACGAGCACGGCCCCGAGCGGCTCTTCCAGCTGGCCAAGGCTGTGTCCTCCGTGCTGAGCCAGGAGCACCAGGACCAGGGCTCAGGGCAGCCGCTGGGAGTGGACACCAGGCAGAAGGTGCCCACGATGGGGTCCCAGGGTCTGCTTGCAGTCATTCAGGGCAGGGATGGGAGTTTGTGGTTCGGGAAGAAGCTTGCAGTGTCTCCCAAGTTGGTAATACCACCTCCCTCTCTAATCCTTTTGGGGAGTGACAATAATGCCTTCCTTTCTGAGCACCTGCTTCCTCGGCTCTCCCTGCAGGAGTCACTGGCATCTGGGACTGGAGGCATCTTAGAGAGTGTCCTAGAGAGCGCCCTTCATATTAAAAATGACACAGGAGAAAAGTGACTTGGCCTTGATTATATGGGTGATGGCTTGAGGTTGGCCTTGATGCTGTCCCAGTTTTGTCACTTGCTACCACCTGCGTTTTCATGGGCCAGGACTGAACCTCTCTATGCCCCAGTTTCCCCATCTGGAAAACAGATGATCATGCTATTTTCCTCATAAAGCTGTAGTGAGAATTAAATAAGAATTACAATTGGCCAGGCGTGGTGGCTCACGCCTATAATCCCAGCACTCTGAGAGGCCAAGGTGAGAGGATTACCTGAGCTCATGGGTTCGAGACCAGTCTGAGGAACTTAATGAGATCGCATCTCTACAATAAATAAAAAAAAAAACCTAGCCGGGCATCACTGTCGAGGCTACAGTGGCTGTAAGCATGCCACTGCACTCCAGCCTGGGTGACAGAGTGAGACTCTAATTAAAAAAAAAAGAAAGAAAAAGAAAAAAGGAATTACAATCACAGCAATTAAGGTCCAATGATATAATTAAATCAGTTTTAATTCACAAAAACAGTCACATGGTCACAACCCATTACAAACGACTGCTACAGAATATGTGATTGTACCCACCCCCTGTGCATGCCACAGGAACATGAATGTGTGTGCATACAGAATCACGTGTGCACACACAAACACACATTGATGGGCATGCAGAAGAAGAGAAGGAAGGCTGCTCTTGGCCTCTGAAGGACTTGTAGGAGAGTACTTAGTGAGTGCTGGACATGTGGTAAGTACTGAACACAGGGAGTGACAGTTCCGTGGTTATGACTTACAGAGAAGACAGTAACATTTATTGAGGACTTGCTATGGGCTGCCATGTCCTGAATTAGGGCTTCACGGTGTGTAATCTCCACTGCAGTCCCAGGAGGTGAATGGTGAGGCCCCTATCTAGGCTATGGATGAGGAGACAGAGGGTAAGAGAATCAGAGTCTCTGGACTGCATCCTTGTGTCTGGGAAGTGGTGAAGACGGGGTTCAAGCCCAGACTGCTTCTTCCCCCTCTGCCTCCAGCCTTCAGACATCAACCCTTTGCTTCACATTAGGCCACCCCATACACAACTGTGTGCGTGCGTGTGCACACACACACACATGCACGTGCACACACACATACATGAACGCACCCCTGGCTCTCCTTGGTCGCATCCTTCTGAATAGTACCAATGGCAAACTTCCCTTTAGCCATCTCGTGGTCCTTAATTGCACAGACCACACAACCTAAACCAAGGCGCCCCCATGAAATGTCAGGGACCTGGCAGGGGACAGATGTCCAACTCTAACTGGGCAATTGAGAAAATTTTATTTTATTTTTGAGACAAGATCTCACTCTGTTGCCCAGGCTGAAGTGCAGTGGTCCTGTCATGGCTCACTACAGCCTTGAACTGCTGGGCTCAGGCAATCCTTCTACCTCAGTCTCCCAAGTAGCTGGGACTACAAGCACGTGCCACCATGCCTGGTTAATTTTTTTTTTTAATCTTTTATTTGTAGGGACGGGGTCTTGTTATGTTGCCCAGGCTAATCTTGAACTCCTGGGCTCAAGCAACCCTTCTGCCTCGGCCTCCCAAAGTGCTGCGATTATAGGCTTGAGCCTCCATGCCTGGGCAGAGAAGATTTTAAGAAGGGTTCTGTTGAGAAAAGAGTGGCCAGGGTTTAGGGAACCGAGACAGAGTGCAGGACCCCAGGGCCTTGGCCTGACGTGACCAGGATCCTGGAGGGCAGCTGTCTGTGGGGGGTGGAGGGCTCCCTCCTAGAAGCTGTGGCTTTCGAAGAACAAAGCAGCCACTCCACAGTGACCTGACAGGAAGGGAATTAGGACATGATCCCTTCCAGTGCTCCTTCCACCACCTCGTCTTCTGCTGGGCTTCCCACTGGGTGAATCCAATTGCCAGAGTCAGGAGCCAATGACATCTCACCCAGGCAGCCTCAAGGAGCACAGAACAGTGTGACAAGGGATGGAGGGAGAATCCGCAGAAGCAAACATGAGATTATCCATGACCCGGTTTCCCTTCTGGAACATTCTGTGAAGACTCTCCTGACACACGAGCCTCTTTTCCTGCCTCTAAGGCACAGCCTGGATGGAGGCCTGACTGTTCCCTCTTGCCCCCAGAGCAGCTGGTAGATTTGCCCAAGTTCTACAGCCGCCTCGAAAGCCTGTCAGCCTGATCCAGATATGAGCAAGAGGCCATCATGTCTGCAATATCGAAAATGGTTGCCACGAGCCACATCTAGCCACAGAAATCTAGGTTAAAATTAATGTTTTTATCCCAGCACTTTGGGAGGCAGAGACGGCGCGAGAGGATTTCCTGAGTCCAGGGTTTCGAGACCAGCCTGGGCAACTTGGCAAGACCTCCTCTCTACAATAAATTAAAAAATTAGCCAGGTGTGGTGGCACCACCTGTAGTTCTAGTTATTTGGAAGGCTGAGTTGGAAGGATCGCCCGAGCCCAGCAGGTCGAGGCTGCGGAGGCTGGGAGCATGCCATTGCACTCCAGCCTGGGCAACAGAGTGAGACTCCAACTCAAAAAAATTAAGATTTATTTTTCTGCTGCTGCCAAAGCCAGTCCCTGGGGAACCCCTGATCAGAGCACTGAGGCTTATAAAACATGTGCCCCAGCAGCCCGGAGGCCTGGCCTAAGGCAGGAGTGGAGTGCTGGGTGGGGACTTCTTGTCCCCACCCCACAAAGGCACTCAGGGACCCCAAGCCTCCAGCGAGACCTCCCATCCGTGCTAGACCAACAGAGTAATCCAGTTTCTGAGTTCCATGCCATTCTGGTCACAGGTGCCGCCCTGAGACATAATATATGTTTACATAATGCCAAATTTTACAGATTGGGTTTGAAGATTTGGAGAAAGCTTGAGACATCCTGTATTTGCTTCCAGTTGCTGCTGTAAAAGAAAAATGTTGTGGCTTAAAACCTCCCAAATTTATTCTCTCACAGTTCTGGAGATCGGATGTTTGACATGGATTTCACTGGGCCAAGATCAAAGTGTGGACAGGGCTGGGAACCTTCTGGAGGCTCTAGGAGAGGCTCTGTTCCCAGCCTCTTCCAGATCCTAGAGGCCGCCTGTCCTCCCTGGCTCCTGCCTTCAAAGCCAGTCATGCAGCATCTTCACAGTCCTTTCCCCGACCTTGCCCCTCCCCTGAATCCGCCTCCTCTCTCTCTTTACCTCCCCCGCCTCTGTCTCCATCACTGCATGTCCTCCGACTCTGGCCCTCCCGCTTTTAAAGACCCTTGTCGATCATGATATTGGCCCCACCTGATAATCCAGGATACTTGCCCTATCGTGCGCTCCTTAACTTAATCACATCGCCAAAGCGACGTTGCCAAAGTGCCTTTTGCCATGTGAGGGATCATCTTCACAGGTTTGGGGGATTCGAATGTGGACATCTTGGGGCAGCCATTATTCTGCCCACCATCCATCCTTCCATCCTTCCATCCATCCATCCATCCATCCATCCATCCATCCATCCATCCATCCATCCATCCATCCATCCTACGAGGGCTTGGGGAAACCCCAGATGAGCCTGGTCACTCCTCTGACCTTCTCCTTCTGAAACAACTTTGTGGAGTTGCTTTGATTACGTTTCCTTTCCCCACCTTTCCCCCCGGTGTCAAGGTCAGAGAGCAAGTGCTGGGGTCACTGTCTATGGTCACGGCAAACCTGGAGGATATGCAGAGTGTGCAGGGGCTGGCTGAGGTGTTGAGAGAGGTGACCCACCAGAGTGAGGAGCTCACACCCTTGGCTCAGGTGAGTAGTCTCCTCCCACCAAACCTGCCGGGAGACACACTCCTCCGGGGCAGACAGATGACAACCCAGCTGGGCATAGGTCAAATGGGTCCCTCAGTCACGGGGTTCTCCTGGGACTGCCAAGGCCTCTACCATCTTCTTTCCAGAGGTCCTGCCCTTCCGGCAGCCTCTATATCTCTCGTTGGGCATGAAGGCCAATCTGCCCACACCCTCACTCCCACGCCCACTGGGGGTGACTTGAGGTAGTAACTGAATCTCACTCATCTTCGGGTGTCCAAGTGTGTGTCCAGATGCTGCTGCGGCCACTCATGTCCCCCACTTGAGCACACCTGTCTTCCATTCATCCATTCACCCATCCATTCATCCATCAAATCATCCACCCATCTATCTAACCCCCACCCATCAATCCATCAATCCATCCACCCATCCATCTACCCCTCACCCATATATCTTCCATCCACCCATCCACCCATCCATTCAATCATCCATCCATTCCTCCACCCATCCATCTTTCACCCACCCACCCATTCATCCATCCATCCATTCATCCACCCATTCATCCACCCACCCATCCATCCATCCATCCATCCGTCCGTCCATTCTTCCATCCATCTACCTCTCACCCATCCATTTTCCACCCACCCATCCATTCACTCACCCATCCATCCATCCATTCATCCACCCATCCATCCATTCTTCCATTCATCCACTCACCCATTCATCTACCCCAACCCATCCATCTTCCACCCACCCATCCATCCACCCATCCATCCATCCATCCACCCGCCCATCCATCCATCCACTCACCCATCCATCCACCTTCCACCCTTCCACTCATCCACCCATCCATCTACCCACTCATCCATTCAACCATACATCCATTCATTCATTCATCCACTCCTCCACCCATCCACCTACCCACCCACTCATCCATTCATTCACCCATCCATCCATTTACCCCTCACCCATCCATCTTCCACCCACCCATCTGTTCATTCATTAATTCACACACCCATCCATTCACCCACCCATCCATCCATTTGCCTACCCATCCATTTATCCATCTATCCACCCACCCATCCATCTACCCCTACCCATCCATCTTCCACCCACCCATTCAGTTATGCATCCATTCATTCACCCATCTATTTACCTATCCATCCTTCCCACCTATCCTGTTAGCACACGGCAGCCTGACATCTTGCCTTTTCTTGCCTGGGGACCTCCTCTGATCCCCAGAGCCCACGCTGCCTACCCACAGGGCAGGGAGTTCCTGCAGTGCTCAGTAACTAATGAGGCTGGTGTGGAGATTCCCCAGTTCCCTCACCCCTCCTGCTGGGTAACCCCAAGCAGGACTGAGCCCCAGATAATGCCCTGATCATACCCTGTATTGACTTTCTCCCTTCCCTGTCTCACACCCCCACTTGCCTCCAATGTTTCCTGGGATCACCCCTAAATAACAGCTTGCTCTCAGATCCTTGCTACAGAATCTGCTTCTCAGCAAGTTAACATGAAAACACCATGTTCCCAGGGTTATGGCAGTCAAGGGTTAAAAAAGAAGACATAGAAATTGGAAGAGGGGAGGACTGTCTGGCTCTGCCCTACCTACTCTGGCAGGAGGTTTCCCCCCGCTCAGATCATCCAACCTGAACCCAGCAAAGCTGGTCTTTGTTTCAGGAGACATTGCACTGTTGATAGGAACTTCCCATGTATACACCCATTTGCTCATCTTCTATTCGCATACATACATGTACCTACATTCATTCTCCTCTCCATCCTTTTATTCATCTATGCATGCACTTATTTATTCATTCATTGAACAAATGTTCCCTGAATGACTAGTATGCGCTGGGTACTGTGCCACTTGCTGAGAATTCATCAGCAAATCACACAGACATGGTCTCTGCCCTCATAGCACTTTCAGACTATTGAGGCAGCCAGACATTAAACAAACAACTTCACAAATACATATATAATCACAAAATTGGAATAAATGCTTTGTTCATCCATATATTCACACATCCATTCACCCATCCACTCACCTATCTCATTTATCTATCCAGCCATCTCCCACCCATCCATTCATTCATCGATCTTCCTATCCTCCCATCCCCCACCCATCCATCC